CATCCTTTGGATTCACTGGCACTCTTCTGTACCAGAGAGATTGGTCTTGTTATGGCATGGAGCCATATGAGAGATGCTTTGCAAGCAGCAAGACATGAAACATTGTGAGTTGATGTACTTTCCTGCAATCCAGAAAGAATGGAAACAATACTGTAAGAACTACAATGGAAGCTAAAAAGGGGAGTGTGCCCTCATTTAAGACTTTCTCTACTGAAGAGAGCAATCTTCATAAGAAACAGCACATAAAATCAAGATGCGGGGGATAACAGTTAGCACTGTGAATGGGTGGGTCACCATCAACCTTTCCCCCTTCCATAATGTCCTCCAAAGCCCAGTTTGTACTTTTGCTGGGGTGCTGCCATGACTCACAGGACAGAGGTATTCCCATTGTTATTCCCATATTGGTTATGTGTAAGACTTTAATTCACAAAGGGATTTAAATCACACTTGTTTAAGTGAGAATCTGCAAAGGAGAGACTGCACTGTGCAGGGAGGTTCTGGATGCAGCTGGAGCCCCTGGAAAATCAGGGTTTCTGATAACCAGGAGAAGCTCCATGCCTAGAGATAATGATCCTCTCAGGCTGCAGATGAGGAAGACAATGGGGCTAGCACACTCCCTTCCTCCTGTGTTAATCTTAGTCCCTTTAATAGATGCCTGAACAGGGCTGTAATGTGAAACTAGGTAGTCAAATTAGAGAAAAGCCAGATTTGCATGGGTATTTCTTCCCAAAGAGGTAAAAAAGGAGGTGGTTGGGGAAAGGACAAACTAACTGAAGGGAAATGTTGAATTTTTTGCAGGCAGGATCTCATCACTGGTTATCAGGTATTCATAAAGAGCACCTATTAGCCTCCTCCATGCTGGCACCTGCTGCAACAAGTCTACAAACAAGGAGCTAATTGACAAACGAGTTAAAAGTGGAAAAGCACAATCGTACAGGATTTTGCCTACATAAATAACTTGAAAAATATGTGATACACCGAGGAGTCGGGGGAAGAGGAGCCAAGATTTAGGATCTAACATTAACTGCTCTTCAAATAGCTCTCATCGTCATTTAAACCTGGGCGAGAGCAAGACCCAAATTACTTTTGGGAAATCCAGCAAAATGCTTCCCATGAAGCATTAACAGTGGGAGATGAGAGTTAACGGTGACACTTGGTTTCTTAACATTTGCCTAAGCAGTTATGAAAACAGAAAAAAGACATTTGCTAATCCCTTGGCATTCCCTCAGCTTAACAACACCAAGGAGAAACAAGCATAGGAAAGGAAAGGAAATCCTCCGAGAGAATTCAGTGAATTAGAAACCTGAGATACAAGTTTTTAAACCTGTACAAATTCAAAAGTTGCATTAAAATGACAACTTTCTGCAACCAAAACAACAACAACAAAACGCTCCCCCTCTCCCACATAGAGCAGTCTCCCATCACTAAGGTCCCTTTCGCTGCTTTGACCCTACAAATCTGTCATCCCCGGTCATGGTATTGAGGGCTGAGGAGAGTCATCATTTGGGGTACCACCCCAGATTGGGAATGGCTGAGGCAGAGGATGCCAACCTTTGAAAGGCTCCTTCATCACCTGGTTTATCACCACCTATTTAGAGAAATAAGCATAAACTCCACTGGAATCTAAGTGAATCTTTGCATGTAATATCCTTACACATGCTCATCCCAGGAGCTGCTGTGGCCAGGGAGATGGCAACCATATGGAATGCAAAAGGCAGGGAAGCTTAACCCTTTTCTATCTCACGCAGTCCCAAGGACAACCCCTTTCCTGAACCTGTAGTCTGCACTGGCAGCAAACCTCCCATGTGTTTCAAGCAGACAAACTTCAGGGAGGACGGTGGCAAGAAAAAGGAAAGGGTTAAACACCCCTCCAAGGCTGCCGGAAGAACACTCGGTCCTTCCTCCACAGTGGACGCTATTTGTTTTACGGAGAGCAGGACGAAGTACACTAAGATTAAAGGGATTCTACATGGCATGTTTATATTTGGTTCTCAAAAACACAACTCAGAAAACAACTGAGCCACAGCATACGACCCTTCAGTCATTGCTGGGGTGCAGCTTCCAGCCTTCCTTACAGCCAGTTGTGCTAGCTGAGGCTGATGGGAGATGGAGTCCAGCAATATCTGGAGGATCATCCCTGGTTTACATGACGTAAGTGACTGACATGGGAGAGGCGGATCAGCCCTTTTCAGGCATAATGGCTCTGCATGGGGCATGAAGGATGGCAGGGATGGGAGTGCCAGGTAAACCCTGCTCCTTGTCTCCCCATGAACTGGAGGTCTCTCAGACTGTTGTGTATTTCAATGGGAGGTCTGCAACGAAGCCAGTAAGCATGTTCAGTTGAATGTGCTTACAGTGTTTCAGTAGCTAGGAATCCTGGTAAGGCAGAAGTCCTAATCACAGGAGCACTACAAACACATTCAACTCCATTTCAGGCCTTTATTTCAAACAAGCACGAGTCTGACTTGCATCCAGATGGAGTGGGGACATGGGGGTGCAGGCTTACACACATCTCCATGTCCCCAAGCTCACCGTCCTTTTAGCCCTACCTTGATTCGGGAATAACACCTGAACATGACGGTGGAGCCAGGTGAAAGCACTATGGGTGGTGTTCCTGTTTCATTTATCAGATCCCATGGCCTCCCTCTCTACAGCTGGACACCTCTGGAAAGACCAGGCACATTCAAGGTCCAGGACGTGCAGCACGTAAGAGTAGATGTCCTTAGTATTTCTTAAGTTTAAAAAGTGTGTGCTGTGTTTTACATGAGGAATAAGTATGAGTCAAAAGGGATGAGAAGTCAGACCTCAATGTTCAGAGCAGTTAAGGTTAGGCAGCCCAAACAGTACAATTGCTCACTCAAAGCGGAAGCAAGTGTTTCCTCTCAGGGAAATGTTAAACAGGTAAGCAAGAGGTAGGGATGCATTTCCTGTATCCACCATGGGGGGTGGGGGAGAAGGCTTGTGGGGAGAAGGACTTGCAGTGGAGTTTTGGGTGTGTGTAAAACCTTTCTTGACGTTCTCTTAATGCAAATTGCAGCCAAGGGCAGGTTAGAACTGAAAAAAAAAAAAAAAACAACCAAAGGGATAGGATTCACTTTATGTGTCTCAAGTGAAGACTTCTCACTCAAAGCGGAAGCAAGTGTTTCCTCTCAGGGAAATGTTAAACAGGTAAGCAAGAGGTAGGGATGCATTTCCTGTATCCACCATGGGGGGTGGGGGAGAAGGCTTGTGGGGAGAAGGACTTGCAGTGGAGTTTTGGGTGTGTGTAAAACTTTTCTTGACGTTCTCCTAATGCAAACTGCAGCCAACGGCAGGTTAAAACTAGAAAAAAAAACAACCAAAGGGAAAGGATTCACTTTACATGTCTCAAGTGAAGACTTTTTGCAATGGTTTTGAGAGTCAGAAGATGCCATCACAGATGCCCTGTGTTTAAACTGAGCCTCCCAATCCCCTGGGAGCTCTGAGACCTTGACAAGCAGGGGAGCTAGTAGGGACTCGGTACGGTGCAGCGTCTCCCTGGCTCTTGACTCGAGTCCTTCTCCCCAACAATGGAACTGCCGAAGAACCAACCCAATGCTGAACACGAAGCTTCAGAGGCATGACTCTCTACTGAAAAGAGATTTACTAGGATTTCAGTAATTTGCATCCCACGTGGAATGGCCAAATTGTGTTCCTAGTCTCTATGGCAACATTCCTGGCTTCAAGGAGGTACATCCCGTAAAAGAACCTGTCCTGCTGACCAGATAGTCCTATGCAGAAAGCTGATTACAAATGTCAGGGTGTGCCAAACCCCACAGGAGGAAAGGCTGCAAAGACAAGAGGAAATGATGTTGTGATGTGACCTGGGCCTTAGATGTCTTTCCACTTCTTTCTAAATTCCTGGGTGTAAAGGGTGCTTTTCTTTCCCTCTTCTTACACATGGCTGAAATCTGTTGCTGTATTATTATGCAGGCAGAGGGCAAATGGCATAACGTTCACTTGCTCCTAGTTGGCCATTCACAAGTCCTTGATGGGATTCTCAAGAGCACACCAAGCCAACAGGCGCAGGCGCCCCTGAGCATCACAGCAGAAACTACTTAACTTCCAGCTAGAGGTGAGCAACTGTCACGCCATGTGCCTACCAAACAACAGAACCTCAGTCATTAATATAAAAAGGTTTCAAACACCGGCAATTTCCTGAAGATGGTCCCTCTGATTAAAATAGGTGATGCCGTCGCTACAAGGAGGATTTACTATTTCAGAATAAAATCAGCAAAAAAGACAAAACAGTAGCTATCCAGGCTACTGTGTCGGCAAGCCTGCCCAGTACTTGATTCCTAAAATGACCGGTGTGTGTGTGTGTGTCGCTTTCTGTCCCTCTTGCACTGTGCAAATTTGTTCACAAAACGTGATCACAAACAAAACATAGAAATAGTCATTCATAAGTTAAAACACAATAAATTCCACAGCTCGACCACTGCTGGCCTGAGGTGATCCCTCTGAAATCCAGTTTAACCATCCAAGTGAGAACACGGCCTTGGACATTTGGGAAATACTGATTTCCAACTGGAGGACGTAAAAGAATATTGCAGCACAGAACTCTACTAAAACTGAACACTGGCGCAGAAAAAGGTGGCTGTGACCTCTAACATGGACATGGCCAGTGTGAAGAATTGGATATTTTGTATTCGTCTAGATGGGGATAAGGAATTGATTTTCCACGGTAGATTTGGTGCACCCTTCTTGTCTGCCAAGAAACACGGATGAGAACAGCCCAAATGGCATTCATGCTTTAGCTCCCAACTGCAAATAAATGCAGTGGTGCTAGAAAATCAAATGAGTCATACCCCCTTTGCAATTAACATGCCAGCCGCAATCCTGCCAATATAGCATTGGGGAAAATGTCACTCTCGCTGAGTTTGGGACTAGAGAGCATTGGTCTGTTTTAATTTTGGGTTTGTAAAGTTGTGCGTTCCATCAGCTAGTGCAATCGTGTCTACTGGACAAAACAGAGACTTGCGGAGCTTACTAAAAAAGAGCATTAAATTAAATTATATGAAGGGGAAGGGGAAAGTTTGTTTGCAATAAAATAAACACCCACCACATCTTCGTGGAAACAAAAAAAAAATCCATTTTGTCACACATAGATTGGCTTAGACTGGCTACGGGCAAAAACTGAGAACTCCCAGACAAGCAACACCTCATTTTAGAAACACATATGCCTACAATGCAGCAGAAAAACCTGAGATGGTCTCCGATGGATTCATTTGCTCTGCGTTTAACTCAGAGCTTGCAAAAATATCCTTCTTGGACTACAATTCCTAAAATCCATTTGCCCTGGTGAGTAGGGGATTCTGGGAGTTGTAGTCCAAAAGTCCCTTTTCCAAGCTTTGCTTTATCTAACAGAAACAGTGAATGTCAGAAAGGCTTGGTTTAACTTCCCCTGAATCTGAATTAGGACTCTTTTCTAACTTAAGCAAACGCCCAGCATGGTGCCACTACTACTGATGTCCTTGCTCTTAATGCAGCAAGTCACCTTCATAAAGAAATCATCCTCCTGTTACTTATTCAGACTGTATTCCTCCCCTTGCTCCAAGCATAAAAAGTACGGTACTAATGCTCTCTTACACAAGGAAGGAGACTCTGGCCGAACAACTGTCTAACTTTAAGACAATGCTGCAGGCAGTTCACATCTGGGGTGGCTTTCAAAGGGAAGATGCTGGGGCATAATCACCACCAATGCTATTTATGTACCAGTGGTTTTTTTTTTCAGCACAAAAATATGGGGTGGGGACTCTTGCTAGCCATGAATGTGCATCATCTCCAGTTTCAACAATGCAAATCCAAAAGCTTTCCTCCCCAACACACGGGTTTTGCTCATTGGTGGTGGTGATGGTGGTGTGTGTGGTTTTACAAAAATTAACTGACTTCAGATCAGCCACAAGATAGCTCTAACATTATATGCTTTTACTGTGCTGGCCATTTGGCTCATCCCCTTTGTTCCTTTGTTCTCTGGAGTTGATGCCTTCGGTTAATCCCTGTCCCGTAACATGATCCAGAAACATTTCAAGTATTTCAAAGCCAAAGCCCAGTTTATAGGTCAGTGGGACACAATCCAATGCTAGCCAACAGCTCTACGGAAATGGACCAGAATCCACCATGAATGGAAGAGCTTCTGTTTGGATATCAGGAGGGCTTGTTTACGTTGTCAGGTAGCTTGTCGCATTGTCTCGGTCTGGAGGCACAAAGACATTAATAGCCCTCGTCATCATCCATCTCACAGCCATAATCTGGAAACACAAAGAGGAGGCGAAATGATTAGAAAGAAAGGGCATTACCCAGAAGCCTGTCATGTCTAAAACAGCAGAGAACAGAACTGGCCCTTCTCAGAATTGGACAGTACACAGGAGTCCGACTGGGCAGAAGCCACAGAGAAATTGAGCCCAAATGACAACGTGTTAAGAAGAAGGTCTCAAAAATCAGCAAGTGAGTAAATTTCTACATTATGCACAGTGTCAAGTAGGTCTCAGATACACAGAACTCACTGAGCAATCAAATGAAACAAGCAAGCAATCAAATTACAGCTTTCACTGGAGAGATTAACAAGCTAGTTGGAATTAATCTGCCAATAAACTTGGCCTTAAAACAAGAGTACATGCACAAACATGTGCATCCTGATCCTAGTATTCTGAAAGCATGTGAATGGCTTCCATACAAAGCAGAAAACGGGCCTTATCCATCAAAGTTCTCTTATGTTCCTCTGCTAAACAGATGATATGAATTACAGTGGTGCCTCAATTTACAAACGTCCCAACATACAATAATTTCGAATTACGACCAGCTCTGGACGCAAAATTTTGCTTAGACTTGCGGCTGGAGCTTCCAGTTATGAACAGAAAAAGGCAGGGGAAAAAGGCGGGGGGGAAAAGGCAGGGAATTCAAATTGCTAACTCTTGGTGGCAAAGAGGCTGCTTCTTTGTAGCTCTTTCACCCCAACGGTTAGAGCAGGCTTGTCCAACCTGCGGCCCAGGTCAGTTCATAATGCGGCCCAGTGCAATTTTTTATTTTTAAAGAAATTCCAATTTTCAAGTTACACTGCGAGCGCTTGTGGCCGGAATGTGGCCGGGGCATGTCACAACAGTAGAGGGGGAGAAAGGGAAGGAAGGAGTGAGAGGGGAAGGGACGGGGGGCTGCATGACTACATTGTGCCATGGTTTGCAACATGGTTTTGGGCTGGGTGGTGGGATTATGTTTCTATGCTGTGATGGGTCTTGCAGGGGTTGTTTGTTTTTTGGTGGTTTTTTTTCCCCATTTCTGATGGGTCTTGCGGTGTTTGTTTGCTTTTTGGGGTCCCCCCCATTTCCAATGGGTCTTGTGGGGTTTGTTTGCTTTTTTCCCCATTTCCGATGGGTCTTGCACGGTTTGTTTGCTTTCTGCTTTCATTTTTTTGCATTTTCAATGGGTCTTGCATGGTTTGTTTGCTTTCTGCTTTGCTCTTTTTGCATTTCCAAAGGGTTTTGCACAGTTTGTTTCTTTTTCTCCCCCCCCTTCAGCCAAAACAGATTAATCGTGTTTCCAATGGGTCTTGGCAGTGGTTTTTTTTTTATTTTTTTTTAATTTTTTTAAAATGGATTAATCGTGTTTCCAATGGGTCTTGGCAGTGTTTTTTTTTGGGGGGGGGGTGATTTTTTTTCTTCTGCCGGAATGGATTACATTTATTTCAATGAATTCCTAAGGGAAATGGTGCTTTGACTTATGACCATTTCAAGTTACGGAACCAATTAAGTTCATAAATCGAGGCACCACTGTATTGGGTCCAAAATCTAAACTCCATATTAAGGTAACAACTTTAACAATTAAGGTAATTATCTTGCAATACATTTATTCTGACTTATGGTGATTCTTCTGGAATTTTCTATTTATAAAGCACTCAAAAGCTACACAAGTGGCAGTGCACAAAACCTTATCAACCACATTCACTCTGGATTATCTTTTCTGGCCCCTCTTCCAGAAGGGCCCTCTATCAGAAGTGGGGATTCAAACTTTAGGCCCCTGGTTCTGCAGACAGAAATATGAATTAGCTGTTTTATCTAATACATGTATTAATGTTTTAAAAAGCAGGCAGATCCCTTCATCAGACAAGTTGCTGAAAAAGGCAGAGATGGGAAATAGGTGGGAAAAAAGGAAGAGACAAACAAAAAATAAAAGCAGACTGGAGTGTAAAGTCTCTCTCCCTAAGTTGTCAGCGTGGAGATTTGGTTTGGTTTTGGAAAGCTGGCAAACCAATAATTCTTATTCTGTCAATTATGTACACCTACATTTTTTGTAGAAGTATTTCTATGTGTGTGCATCCTAAGGCAAAAATATCAGTGCTGCATAACAGAGGGACGATCAATTATATACTGAAAGGTTTAAAAATACACTAATAGAGGGGAAATAGTTTGGAGACCTTTAAATAATTTTGTATTATTACAATCATTGTCATTATTATTATGAGTTTCCTTTGGCATGGACAGACACGCCTATTCAGGTGCAGTTCTCTGAGAATGCAATTCTAATCACATATGCTGATGGAAAAAAGTCTCCTACAGTTTGAGTGATTGCCTGCCACTCACATCAAACCAGCCTGTTATGATTATTCTATAGACCTCACACAAAAGTTGAAATCAACATCCACGGCTAAATTAAGGGTATTGAAACGTTTGCACCATAAATAATCAACACTCCAACGTTGGCCCTCTCTGTGTGACACTATCAGACCTCACAATTAGTGGTCCATGTCAAGTGTTTGACTGTATATACAGATTTATACTGTAATAAGCAGCTTCAGTGCAGTAATAAAGTTGTATTCAAAGCACAGTGAATATTCTCAGTTCTGTCTGTAGACACAAATCCTACTGACTTGATGGTTTCCATTGCTGCAGGATCCCTCTGGTGAAAATGTTTGTATAATTTATGCCTGGAAGTACTATCAATCTATAAATCACAATAGCAGACTGCCTGCTGTTCATGTAAAAACAGTAAGTATGGATTGGCACTGCAGCTCAGTCCTTGATTAACTGATTTCTCGAAATGCCATTTTGACAATGGAGATAGGTCCAACTGTGATGGCCTGATGTGGCTTCCCATCAGGTCCCATTGCAAAAGGCAATGATCCCTCCACAAAGCACATGCTTTGCATGCAGTAGCTCACATGCTCAGTCCTAACATCTTTGGGTGGAGCTAGGAAAGATTCCTGCCTGAAACCCTAGTGAACCATTGCCAGTGTAGACAAGACACTAGTTCCCCCTTATCCATGGGTGATCCATTCCAGGATCAACAGTGGATACCTGAAACTGTGGGTGCAAGGGAACCTATTAAAGAGAATGGGTGAGAGCAAGAGGAGGTGGCAAGTGCGCATGCACATTAAAGCCTGGCTTGCAGCAGTGGTGACCACAGAGAACTGATACCATAGATACTAACTCTGTGGATATGGGGAAACTACTGTATTGGGCTAGTCAGATCCACAGTCTGACTCTACATAAGTTATCTTCTAATCTTCCAGCATTGTGAAGGGGGTAAATTTGGACTAGAGCCTCCATTTGCTAACACTGTATGTATGGATACTAGATTTTTCCATGCTGAACACTTCTACTAACACATCACTTAATGGCCTTCTGTTAACCTTCTCAATATTTTCATAAATTTTAACTCCACCTTCACTTTACTCTCACTTTATTACCAAATAAATGTAATTTTAAAAAATATATAACTTATTTAAAATAGGGGCATAAAATTAATCCCATTGATCACATGTTTAACAGGTCCCACTTTTACAATTAAAAAAAATCATAAGGTTGGAATGAATACCAAGGAGATAATTTTGTCATAAACCAAATCAGTGTACAGCCAAGCTGGCTGGATGGCCCAGTGAATTGAGTACCCAAGGTGAGTTCAATCTCCTACTGTGCCTCCTGGGAGAAGAGTCAGTCTGTGTAGCCTTGGGCAAGACATACAGCCCCAGGGCACCCCCCAAAGAAGGGATGATAAACCACTTCAGAGTACTCTATACCTAAGAAACCCTGGACATGTTTGCCATAAATTGGAATTGATTTGATGACATGGTTGCCTAAGAAACCCTGGACATGTTTGCCATAAAATGGAATTGATTTGATGACATTGTTGTTGCTGCTGCTGCTGTTAAAACAGTGAAGCCTGAGAAGCACAGGAATCCCTATCTCTTAAAATTCAGGTGAAGACTGAGCATTGTCTGGAAGCAATGCACAACCTTTCCTTTTGGTATTTGAAAGAGTTCCATTGGCAGCACATGGGGAGGAGCACAAGACAAACTGAATAATCTCTTTTTACTCTTATCTAAGAGTCGGACACCACTGAATGACTAAACAACAACAACTAAGAATCAATGAGATAACAGACTGGAAAAAATCTCTTGGAATATTATTAAATCATAATACATGAAACAATATGACTAGCTTCAAGGCACTTTTTACAGGACTCCGTGGCAGCATCAAGTACTTAACATATAAGCTTAGGCACAACATTCCTTTTATGGGAGGCCAGAATTTTAAAACTGATAAATGGCAAGACTGAGAGATAGGAAGGAGCTGGCAGTGAAGATGTAGCAGATCATGAGATATTAGACAGATGCTGCTACTCAAAAAAGCAGGAAGAAAAACATCGAGGATGGGAAGCGTAATGTGCAAAACATTTACAGGCAAACCACAGAATGTGTTGGAAGACTGTATGCTAAACTGCACCTGCCAATATAGACGTCCTCCACTGGGACAACGTAGGTTGGGGGAAACTTAATTTGGTGCCTTGGTTAAACATAAGTAGGTGCAGTCGCTGCACAATCCAGGTTAGGAGATTAAAACCAGCCTGACCCTAGAATTATCATACCCCTGTAATAATAACAATCTTATTACACCCTCCTTGTACTGAATCAAGCATACCATTTCATTGGCAAGCGTACATAACCAGTACCCTTGGAAAGCCTCATTACTCTTGAACCTACCAATTGTTTGAGGTATGTAGCACGATGGGGCTTGTCGCCACTCTAGAGCCCAGACCTTCCAAACACAAAACAAGAGCTACAGCAACTGGAAACAGCTGGTCTGCGGGCTTCAGCTGTAACAGATGGCCTTTACCTGTACGCTGAGATGTTTCCTGGGATGATGGTGTGGAGGCAGAGGGCAGCAGCAATGAGCCCTTTTGACAGAACACATCTACAGTGAGACCTGGTTTGAGGCACATGATCAGCTCCATTCAGGCATTACTCACCTACATATCTTTATCCCAGAAAGAGAGGAAGTGCTTAGCTACGTCTCGTGAAAAGTGATTCATCTGGAGAACAAAGACGTGTTTTCCATGCATTTGGGGAATGCTAGAACTTCAAGCTGGACCATAAAGAAGGCTAACCGCTGAAGAATTGGTGCTTTTGCATTGTGGTGCTGGAGGAGACTCTTGAGAGTCCCCTGGACTGCAAAGAGAACAAACCTATCCATTCTAAAGGAAATCAACCCTGAGTGCTCACTGGAAGGACAGATCCTGAAGCTGAGGCTCCAGTACTTTGGCCATCTCATGAGAAGAGAAGACTCCCTGGAAAAGACCCTGATGTTGGGAAAGTGTGAGGGCAAGAGAAGGAGACAACAGAGGATGAGATGGCTGGACAGTGTCATCGAAGTGATCAACATGAATTTGACCCAGCTCCAGGAGGCAGTGGAAGACAAGAGAGCCTGGCGTGCTCTGGTCCATGGGGTCACGAAGAGTCGGACACGACTTAACGACTAAACAAAAAGAACTTCAAGGTTCCTGCTTGTGTGGAGAGTCCCCAGGTGAACAGGAATCGTTCCTCTCTAAATGCATTGTCTTCTGGATGCAAAAAGCAGGGGCAAAGCGGATGGACTCGGCGTTCTCCTCTTTTCTGAGCTGGATAAAAGCTTAATCAGTAATATTTGAACAGGGCTTGCTTTTCCCATCTTGCAGAACAAGCAAACTATGGTTTGTGTTTGCCCTGCAAAGCAGAGTTGGAAATCTGACCCAAAGCCTAGAGCGGTGGTTCCCAACCTTGGGTCCCCAGACATTTGTGGACTGCAACTCCCAGAAGCCTTTGCCAGTATAGCTAGTGGCGAAGGCTTCTGGGAGCTGCAGTCCAAAAAATATCTGAGGGCCCAAGGTTGGGTCCCACTGCTGTAGACAGAGGGGACACACAGGCTTGAAATCTCCCCACTTCTACAACAACCAAAGTGTGCAACAATACTACTGTAGAATTATCAAGCTTATTTTAGAAAGAACTAATAGATGCTTATGGGAAGCGCAGCTGAGGGGCTAGACTTTACTTCTGGCACGAGCAGGTCTTCAAAATGCTAAAAGTCTTGCTTACCATTTCCTCCCATTAGCTGAAGGGCACTCACACAGTGGTCATCCTCCTCTTCAACTTCTTCCTCTTCCACGTCCTCCTCATGATTATAAGATACAGGCCCAGTTTCCACCAGTACATTGGCTGGCTTTTCAGTTTCTTGGCTTTCTGGCGGACTATTCTGAAGAACTGCCTGCAAAAGTTGAGAAAAGCCATTGTTTTAGAAACCCATTCTTTGCTTCTAGCCTTTTCTCTTTTCAATTGCCAAGGAAAGGAGAGGGAAAACTTGCCCTCAGTTGTCATGCTCCCACTGTCATGCTCAACACAACATTCCTGCTCATGAGGTTTGCAGTTCTTTTGAGGGGAGTCCTACTCTTCCCTGAAAATTCAGAGCTGATGATCTCTTTCCTACTGATCAATGCAAAGAACTCAGTAATAATACAAGAAAACAAAGGGACATGCACAACCCTCATGAATTATGCAGTATTCAGCAGCATTTTAAAAGAAGGACTTAATTGCAACATCCTCCTGGCTAGGTGGAAATCCCTGCTAGTGTAGTTGTGCTGTATTACATTGGTCCCCAACCTTGGACCTCCAGATGTTCTTGGACTACAACTCCCAGAAGCCTTCACCACCACCTCTGCTGGCCAGAATTTCTGGGAGCTGAAGTCCAAGAATATCTGGAGGCCAAAGGTTGGGGATCATTGCTGTATTACATTGCCGTGCTAGCAATAACTCAAGCAGCATTATACAGCTACTTGCACAACAGAAAATGCACTGGATGCCACCCTTATATAAACTCTGCAAATGAATATCCACTACTAGCACACTGCAGGATGTGCGTCAATCAGATTGTTTAATTAGGAGAAGGGGCAAATCTCAATGAGAGAAGATACACACAGCTGTGGCATTCTAGAAATAATATATATAATGGTGAGCTGTCAAGTCCATTCTGACCTATGGTGATCCTTTTCAGGGTCTCCTAGGTATAGAGTACCCAGATGTAATTTCCCATTTCCTTCTTCTTGGGGTGCCCTAGGACTCCGCAGCTTGCCCAAGGCCATATAGGCTGGACTGCAGGATGCCTAGTGGGGATCTGGACACCCAACCTCGGACTCTGCAACCAGATACTGTACCTAACTCACTGAGCTATTGAGGCAGCTATTCTAGAAACAGTAGGGCAAAAAAGTATTTTTTTCAAGTTCTGTTTTGGTGTCTCCCTTGAAAGACTGTAGCACTCCACCGCAGCAGAGCAAAGAAGGCACACTCAGCACCAAGACTGTATTATAAAAACAGGAGAGTATTATTACCCTCTTGAAACAGGCAGCTACATAATGTTATTGTTTTGGATAACAACCATATTTAAAAGGCAGACTATGATTTTAATAAGGGGTTGATACATATCTTCTGATTGCTGTTTTGGGTTTTTCTTCTCCTTTCTGGACTATCATCACAGTGATCCGATAAGCAATGGGGCGGGGGGTTAAGATAACGTTTGACCCATCAGAGGGAAAGAGAGATTGGTGGTGGAATAAAAATGATAAAGAAAACAGATATGTGCATGCAGTGGCTATTCTATCCACTGAGTTCAAAATGTAAACCAAATTGTGACAAAAACAGGAAATGGGGGGGGCAGGTGATCATACCTAGGAACATCAAGGGCTGTTATCTGAAAGCTACTCTTTACAATGCCATATACTCTCTCTCTCTCTCTCTCTCTCTCTCTCTCTCTCTCTCTCTCTCTGTGTGTGTGTGTGTGTGTGTGTGTGTGTGTGTGTGTGTGTCCTTAAAATACACAGGGTATCAGGAAGGAAAAATTCATTATCCAATCTGATGCAACTTTTCAAATGAGAGAAACAGCAACTTGCACTGCCTTTTGTAACCGCTAGGTAAACAGCAACTTGCACTGCCTTTTGTAACCAATTATGTTGTGTATGGATTTTGTACTTGAGTACAATAAGATGAAAAAAGGGACGTGGTGGCGCTGCGGGTTAAACCGCTGAAGTCTCTGTGCTGCAAGGTCGGAAGACCTGCAGTCATAAGATCAAATCCACGCGACGGAGTGAGCCCCCATCGCTTGTCCCAGCTCTAGCCAATCTATCGGTTCGAAAGCATGCAAAATAGGTACCACCTCGGTGGGAACGTAAACGGCGTTCCGTGTCTAGTCACACTGGCCACGTGAACACGGAGGATTGTCTGTGGACAAACACTAGCTCTATGGGTTGGAAACGGAGATGAGCGCCACCGCCTAGAGTCGGACACGACTAGACAAAATTGTCAAGGGGAACTTTTACCTTTTCACAATAAGATGAAGTCTCAAAGCATGGGTGTACAATCAGTCACCCCAGAGCTACAACAAGCCCTGGCCCCTGGCAGTTCCCTGTGTGCCTTCTGAAGTGAGCAAGATTCCCCCCCCCACTTTTCCCCACGGACCCTTTGATTCTCTGGATGACGGGGGATTAAAACATTGTTCCTCGGCTCCCAAAACCGCAGTTTCTGCATTCCCTTGTATGGACTATCTCAGGAGAAACCGGTGGAGAACAACCGGCTGCCTAGACTATGGGGGAGTAGGCATATATACATGCTAGCTCAGACATGTGCATGGAAGAGGGAGAGAAAGGGGAAAAAAACATGTGCTGCTCACATACGGCCAAATGGTGCTAAAGCCCTCTCTTGGTGGTTTACAACATAATTAGGCAGGTTACACACTGCCCCCCTCCCCTCCTCAGCTGGGTACTCAATTTATCACTTTGGAAGGATGGAAGGCTGAATCAACCTTGAGCCTGAGTCTGCTGGTATCAAACTTTGAGCAGAATCTTGGCTGCAGTACTGTATGCATGCATATGCATATCTGTTAATGTGCAGCTTCTGGCACCAAGGCATTCCAGTACCAAAAAGGGGCTCTTACAGTGAGGACTGAAACCAGATATTTCAGACTGGCATCGAACAGCTAGTGCAAGACCCAGAGGGTTACATGATGGACTTCAATCTACTCTGTCCTGCCAGCAGGCAGGTTATGACCATCAAGTGGAACTCCAGAGAACCCTAAGAGTGACAGGTGAAGGGGATAAGAGCGTTTTTCCTTTCATGTTGTGCCTGCTTCTGCTTCCCAGAACAATTATGCAACTTAAGAACTCCACTACACCACTGCAGGGAATTCAGGTATCAAAAGAAACAGACATCGTGGAAGTAGTAGTAGAAGCAAAATCCCCATTTATATTAATTGTTACGCCAGGAATTTCCATCTGCTTTCAGTGTTTTCACAGAAGAATGGCTGAATTTAAAAGAGCCACAATTGAACCATTATTTTTTTAAAAAAATTGCACAGCCCTAATTAAAGCATGACCTTCTTCTAATTATCATGTCCATTTCCTGAACATCTCTGTACTAAAAATATGCAGGTTTTTCTAATGAGGATGGCACATAAAGTTTTTTTTTTAAAAAAGAAAAAGATTTATTCTGCCAGAAGCGCAAGCTGTTTTGGGGAGATGGGGGAGAGAATCAGTGTTTCTAATCATTTGAAATATGACATTCTCTCAAAGACTTCCATATAGTAGAACATTTAGAACTAGTTTCCACCCAACAACCCAAACCACAGCTTGGCTTTTTAAAATTGCACTGCTACTGGTCTTTCCTCCTGCTGGAGAGACTCACCAGGGAAGGGGGAAGAGACTTGGCTATTGTTCAGATTGAGTAACTAAGTTTTGAAACAGTACCAAGAGTTCTAAGATTTGTATCAGGGAGGGAGAGAATAAAAGAAATGTGTTTTGTCAAAGAGTGACAAGCCAAAAGGTGAGAGATATAATATAAACAGATATAATAATATGGACATAAACTATAGTGCACAGACCTATTCAAACATTCACTCAATGTGCATATTAGTCATGTTGGTATGTCTGTCTGTCTCAAGTTCTGTCACCCTCTTAAGCATGGAGGGCCAACAGTGGAGAGCCTCTGTTTTCTGTGGAAGTGGCCTATGTGAGTCTGAATCGTGGAAAAGCAGAGCATTGCTGTACAGTACAAGAGACGTTTCCCATTTCATTCTGCCATTTCATACAGAACCAACAGGCTGCAGAATGAGGGAGGGAGGGGTCAGGACTAGTGTATTCACTTGTGTTTTTTTTGTATTGAGCTATATCATGATGTGGTTGTGCTGTGGGTTAAGCCGCAGAAGCCTCTGTGCTGCAAGGTCAGAAGACCAGCAGTCATAAGATCAAGTTCATGCGACAGAGTGAGCTCCCGTCACTTGCCAACCTAGCAGTTTGAAAGCATGTAAAAGCATGTAGATAAATAGGTACCACCACGGTGGGAAGGT